AATAAACTAGCGCACACATACATACATATTATATAATTTTTGCAAAAGTTGTTAAAACGCTACAGATTTGTGGTCCGGCTCAACTGGCAGGCACTTTTTTGTTGTATTGTTAGGAAATGGAATTTTGCTGGCATTGGTGAGCTGGCGGCGTTTAATAATTTCTGCAAGCTAAATATTGAAACTACTTACACTTTGATTATATTACGCCTTTTTTGATATACATTGATTAATATACCGTTAAACACCAAATTTCGTAATCTTGCGCTGAAACAATAGAATTAACGTAAATGCTAGAAATGTGTAAATTCTCAATGCAAGAAAATTTAATTTTAAATTATAACAAAACTATCTTATATTGCTGTGTAGCAACATTCTGCAAGAGTTTAATAAATATTTTTAATATTTTCCATATCAAAATATTAATTTTTGTAAAAATTCAAAATTAAGATAAAAACGGATTAATTGTTTCTAATTATGCAAAAATAATTAACACTTCAATTAATTACTTCGATATCGTAATTATTATAAATTACTATAATTTTGTGATAATGTAAAGTAAAAATTGAAAGATTTCTTAATTTTGGCACCGCTTATTCACTCTCTTAATTATAGTCTCATCAGCTTCTCATTGGCTGTCCCAGTTTTTCATATTCAACATTTGCCTTATTTTTAATTTACTTAATTTGTTTTGTTTCAAAACAAAACGCTTTAATCTCGCTCGTTTGCCGGCCGATCACCTGTGAAATTTCAAATAGTTTTCAATATTTTTTAGCTCATTGAAACGCACGCGCAAGAAAAAACAAATAAATGCCTGATTGTTGTTATAGCAAAAATTTATGAGGTATACATTTGTATGTATCTGTTTAGGCGATGCGTGTGTATGCAGCTGTCTTATGAATGTATGAAATATAAGTGTGTATATACATATATCTATTTGTACATAAATACATGCATATAGATATTTAGATACTTGAACTTATGAGATGCTTGTTTGCTGTTCTTTGCGGAATGAGGTCGTTTGTTTTATTGTTTTAATGTTGTTTGTGCTCGACCAGCTTTAATTTACTTTGAAGTGTGACGGCTTTTTAAGTTTTTTGTTATTTGTTATTCGCGTGTTAAATTATATATGTTTATGCAAACGTAATGTAAAATATATATTTTTTTGGGTTACCGATGCTCCGATACCCAGTTCACTGAAGGAGGCTACAACTCAGAGTATACGATCTACGTCTAAATTAGACACCACCTCTAGCTCTGTTCGAGAGAAACTGTAGTTATCTAAATACATAAAACTAGGCGTGATGAGAACATAGCTGATATGTGCGAAGATAAGAAATCATAAGGAGTTAGCTTAGCAAAATGGTGGTATAATATTCGGAATGATGAATTTAGCCATAGTAATCCACAAAATTCAGTCTTTCAGGCCGCAATTGTTGGCATAACAAAAAGCGCAAAGGGGACTTCGGCTCTAACCAGCAAGTCCATTAACCTTCTAGTGAATGGTCAAGCGGCACTTCACTAAAGGCTATGCATATCGCCTACACTAATTATGTTATGCAATAAGGTAATAACTAGAGTTGTAACTAGTAGGGAACTCGGTAAAAGTCAACTGACTACTCAGGCATATAGGGATAGAAAGAAACGAAAATGCACAAGATTTGGCCAGCACGGTGGCAGCCAGAAATCAGTTTCTCTTAAGCTACAGTCAACCATTTAGCTCTTTCAAGGGTTTCTTGAGCCAAAGATTGTTGAGGAACACCTAAGGTCTTGGAACACCAGAGACACAGGCCATACTGGAGAAGTAATTTAGGGTAGTGTTGATGGTGTCCATACCAAACAGCTCCTGTTGGAACTAGGTAACATTGTAGGAGTCATCACCGGGCACCTACATTTAGGATTTTCCCTTCATAAAATTGGTAAAGTGAAGTCGGTAGTATGCAGAGATTGCGCAGAGCATTACTAGATGCTGGATTATTAATGACGTCAAAATTTGTACTTACCGCGTATTGTTATTAAATTTAAGAATTCAGCCTTTAAAAACTCCTTTACACATAAAAAATTGTTTCGTTATTTTTAAAGTTTCTACGCGGTTGTATTTTCTAATGATCTTGCTGGAAATCTCTAAATACTGCTTGCAACTGAGTCATGACAAGCAGTACTGCATCTCGAACAATATGTGGAGCAAATTCTCTAAGAAAAATAAAAAGGAGATTACAAGCAATTTCAATCGCAATTGAAAGCTTTGTTAAGTATCTGAGACACTTTAATTCTTCTTCATACCCAGTTGATTGACATAGGTACACGTACGAGTATACAATGTATACTTGCCCATAGTTTAAGTTTGAGTTCTTTTCATAATGAAGCGCATAAATGTTTCTAACATAGATTAGGGTGGTCCTAATTTAAGCTGCAGAATTTCATTTTTTAGGCTAAAAAGGGACTGTTTTTTTAACTTTGGTAACTAGCATGTTGTTATTTTTTTAGAAACTCGTGTGGTCCATATTTAAGTTTGAAAAATTAAAATCGTTATATAATATATTTTTTATTTAAAACTAATTATGTAAAAAAAATGTATATTAAGGTAGTTGGGAGAACATACTATTCAACGAAAACTAAAAAAAATATATATTTCATATATTGTAATATTATTAAGAATGACCCTAATGCTTATGCCGGAAATCTCTGAAACTTAACTACATAAAATCTACACATTTCTACTCCTTACACAAACGCATATGAACATGCTTATGCACAAAAGTAAACACATATGTGTGCCAGTCTGTATGTGTACTTACAACAACTTCATGGCTGAATAGCTTTTAGAAAGTGCTGAGCAGTGACATTTAACACCAGCTGTCAAAATGCGCTAACGCTCTCTACGCGCTCACACCAACCATTTTTATTAGAAAATATCTACCGTGTATTAGGACTGGAAACTGCCCAGGATTAAAAGTAAGGGTATGTGTGTTGTAAGTTGAGAGCAAAAAAATAAACTCAACTTAAGCTGCTGCCAGCCATCAATACTCTGCGTAACTGTAGTTTTTCTGATGTGGCTTCTACTTTCTTTTCATTTCTTCCTTCTATTTTGTCTTAGTTGTATGCTGTCGCTTTCAAGTGTACTTTAAGCTCACTTTTCAAAACAAAGCTGAAAAACTGCGACTACACCACAATGGCGAGTGTGTGAAAGTTGAGTGCTGCCAGCATGCAACAAAACTGGGAAAGAGTGGATTGTTTTTTTTTAAGTTCTTGTGGGATTTTTGTTTTGGCAGCTACTCTGCAACATGATTGCTTTGGCGAATGCTCGCACGGGGGCTTAGCGTTGAAATACTGGGTTATGTGAGTACAGCTTATGAGAGAACTTTAAAGATTGGTTTTATATTTTTAAATGAAAATTCTCACTTAATCTCTTTGTATATTGAAAATAAGAAATATGGTTACTATGAAGGTTTATTCTTGGCGACTGGTGTACCAAATTGTCAGAAGGTTACCATGAGGTTTTTGAAAACATAATATACTTGAAAAAACTTCTAAAGTCGTATTTTCACCTAACCTAAAAACTGCTACGAGTATTTTACAAAAGCTAAATGTTGCATGACTTTTTATATTTAAATTGCTAAACAAACTGAACCATGCTACAATAAATTCGAATAGGTTATAGAAAGTGATGGGCATGAATTATATTTTCTCCAGAAACAAACATCATTGCTTAGCCTCTGTTCAACCGAAGTTTTTGGTCTTTTTTATTATTTGTATTCTGTCTTGAAGAAATGAGGAATGTGTAGACAATTTAGTTAGTTGTATAAGCAGAGTTGAAAAATCTTCAACCTCACTTTAGTTTCTTAAATTTTGCAATTTCGGAACAAACTACTGCGAATTTTCCTTTTTAACGAATTCTGTATAATCTCTATTTACTGATTTAACAACAACTTTACTGCTTCCTTCATTGCACATATTCACAAAAATCTAACATAACTCACTAGACCCGTACATTGAGTCTCGGATTGCCAGCCATTGTTTGGCTAAGAATCGCAAAATCTGTTGTCTGCACACATGTGGAACCGCACACACAAATACACTTACCAGCCTCTCGCCTCAATATGCAGTAAATATACCAGTAATGCGTTTGGGTCCAGTGATTGTTCCCCAAAATTTTTGCTTACTTACTTACCGCCTCGCAGCCACTCACTGGAATACAATAAACGGGTATTTGCCAGCGAGCGCAGCTTGCCAAAAAACAAACAACAATAATAACAATACAAGTCAGCATCAATTTGAGTAGTGGAAACATGCCATTAATACATTGAAAGGAATAAAAAAGATCGAGAATAAAATCAATGCTTTCCGCCTCGGTATACAATTCTGCGCTGATTTTCGCAGGTCGACCCCAATTCGTCGGCGTCGTCGGCTTCATTGTTATACCGGTCATTGTTGTTGTGGTTGTGTTGTATGGCATGGTTATTGTTTTCTTACAGGTTGCCTGCTATGAATGGTTGTAGTATTTCTTGTAAATGGTGAATTTCTTGCTTTTGTCTTAATTTCAAATTACACTTTCATTGTTTGTACCATTATAAAAAGGGATCGATCATATGATTGCATTGCTTGCGAGAAATAGCGAGAAATCAAATTAAATTAAGTGGGCCGAACGTGACGCAGAGTGTGTTTGAAAAATTTAAGAAATCCTTAAAAGCTCATAAGGATTAATTTCTTAGAGTAAGTACTTTCGAAGTTAACGAGATTAGTTTGGGTTAGGTCGTGAGGTTGATACCAAATCGTCTTACCAAAAAATTCCTAAAATGTAAATCATCAGATCTTCAGTGAACGACGAATCGTTTTGTGCTTACAACAACATTATTAAGGCAGTTAATTAAATTGCAATATAAATTGGGTTATGATACAAATACATGAAAAAAAGAGTTTGCGAATCGAAGACGCAACTACTTTTCCACTATTTTGATGTCAAAACTAATAAATACAACTTTTTTTTGGAGTTATTTATTTAATTTTAGTAGACTTTAATTAATTTTAATTTATATTAATACTCTTACTTTTACTTCTAGCTAATATTAAAAAACACGATTAATTCAAAACATTTCGCCATTTTACACACATTTTCTTTTTGTAGCCCCTTAGGCAATTTTTTCATACAAAAATAATTTGTATATTCAGTTTAAAAATATTTGAAATTAACAAATATTAAGAATTAAGCAATTTTGTTCCTGGAAAAGCTTAAAATAATTCTGTACTACACAATATTTTTTAAATATTTTTATTACATTTTTATAATATTACTTGTATATTTACAATAAAAAAGTCCGATTATATATGTTAACAGACACATATATGTATGTTTGTATATTACAAGTTAATCATTAACTTATGCAGCTTAAAATATTTTTTTTTTTTTGTTTAGTGATACAAATATTAATCATTAACATATCACACACATAAATTTTATTTTTAACTTAATAAACTTAAACTTGAAAACCTGCTTGGTAGTAAATACTTATTGCGCTAAAATTTCAACATCTATTTCTTTTCCTTTATAGAATCTAACACTGCAATAACAGATAAATTCGATCGATCTTATATTGAGAACGTTAATATTTGTTATTTTACTTTAACTTTTAATTTATTTTTAATTTTTTTAATTCTTTGAATTTATTAAACAGTTAGTTAATATTATATTTAATTAATTTTAAATAAATATTATACATATATATTTTTTTTAATAAATATTTTACTTTAATATCTAATATAAACTTTAGTATTTATAAAAACTGCAATATTTTTTAAATAAAACTTTTTTTCGTATGCCTTGTGCAAATATCACAACAGACCCAAAAGACTTGGGCAAAGGTGAAGAGAATTAGTGTGGTAAAAAAAATATGTTAAGATTTCGTGTAAGCTCTATGTAAGCTTTTACAGCACCAAACGACCTAGGACGAAATTGGTGGTAAAACAGAGAGAAAAAATCCAAGTTATATTAATTATATGACTCTTAAGCTTTAAACCTCAAAGATTGCGGGTTTTCCATATAGCTCTATGGACTTTTATTTTCATATCGAAAAGACTCAAGATTTTTGTGTCACGCTTTAAAAGTAACTCTAAACTAAATAGTATTTACATGTACTAAAAATTTGAAATTCACCACGGCTAGTTTTTGCAGCTTACGCTTTCTAATAATTGCAATTTTTAAGAACTTTTGCTATGCTGAACAGTGGCGATGGGAATTTCCTCCACTGAAAAATATTGAGAATATGAGAATAATTGAGTGCTTAGATTGTAAATGTAATTGCAAGTCCAGACATCATCGATGAATTTGATCATACGCTTCTCTCAGCATAATTTTGATACAATATCGGAAAAAAGCTTCTAATTTTTAGTACTTTTTTAATACCGCTTACTCGCTTTCTTCTAAATGCTTACAAGCCCACTTTATTATTCTATATTTTAATAATTAAATATCAAATTGAAAGTGAATAAGTAGCGATACTTCTATCACAAAGCTCATTTCGTATGCTTTTATTTTGCTATACTTTTCCTAAATATATACATAAATGACCTTAAATTATACCATTGAATTTTTTATCTCTACTTTTAATATCTATACTCTCGCTCTTTTCTCATGCTTCAACTTCTCTCCTTTTCATTTTCCAAACATAACTGTTCAGTCCCAAATATATACTCCTAATCTAAATCTAACCGACTTGCTCACTCTACAAAATTATAATGCTCTTTTTTCAGCCATAAATATCGCTCATATCAACTCTTCATTTCGGAACTCTCTCGCTGATACTCATCTATTTGCCACATAGACAATTGTCTCGACTGGAGTACGACCACCCATAGCCAAGTCTTATAAGTCTGTGTGCAACACTGGCGCTTTATAACTCATATCGGTATCAATCGACTTCGAGGTGCCTTCAGCTACGAACTGATGTTCCAACACATCTGCGCACGATGTGTCCCGCACAAAAAGCACGGTTGCATTTGTGCCCGGCACAACGTTCCCAGCGGCATGTTGCTTAGCTCTCACTAGCGGCGTCTTCAGTGTCGGCAAATTGCTTGTCTGTGGTTCGGGATAAGCAACAATTTGATTGGCGGCACTATTATTGCTAGTTGTTGTTGTATTCGTCGTCGTCGTGGTTGTTGCTGCTGCCGTATTGAGCATATTTGTAGCATTGTTATTACTTGTTACCACCATCTTCTTCTGTTTCGCCTTTTTCGGTGAGAATAGACGGTGGTCCGATTGGCGATTCTTGCCGAATTTCGGAAAGAGACTATTCTCCATATGTAACTGGGCATTAACATCCTTACGCGTTGCACAAGTGCAAGCTTTCAGGAAGCTCTTCTTGAAATTGTCACTCAAAAATGCATAAAGTACGGGATTCATGGCCGAGTTTGAGTAGCCGAGACAGCCGGCTAGAAGAAATATGGTGATCTCGAGTCTTGATGCACATTTGCTTGGCGACGAATAGATGAGCGCCAATTGTGATATCCAATAGGGTAGCCAACACAGTATGTATACTGTAATCACTGTTAGCACCAGTTTGGTCACCTTGCGGTGGGAGCGCTTCTTCTCTTTGGACTTTTGCTTTGGACCGACCGTATGCAATTTGCGTATAACGAGAAAGTAGAATATCAAGATGAAGGTAAGCGGTGTGGCAAAGCCCAATGTCAGTGTATACAGTATAAATGTGGTACCCGATTGTGTATTTTGTGCTTCGGGCCACTTAATGTTGCACGACACGTGATCCTCATTCGACTGCACTGTGTTGGCGAAAAGTATCACGGGCAACATAAGTAGCACCGACGTCAACCAAGCAAAACCCGAGACCAATTTCGATACAAATGGCGTACGATAGCGTGGCGATGATATCGGATGACAAACGGCTATATAACGATCAGCTGACATGATCAACAAGAATATTGAGGATGTAAATTGTGTTATCGATGTGCTCACCATATAAGCTTTACACACATAATCATCAAATGGCCACCTGCCGATTTGCATGGTATACAAGAGTATTGGTATACCGATCAGAAAGCATTCATCGGCTATGGCTAGATTGAGTATATAGATATTGGTGACTGTTTGCATTTTCGAAAAACGCAGCACCACATAAATAACGAGCGTATTGCCGAGGAGTCCAATAATGCAAACGAGTGCATAGAGTATCATCGTTACCAGATTGGCAATCGCATTCTGTCCATTGTGGCACATCATCTCCTCTTCGTAGGTCTCGTTGAAGGTCATATTATAGATGGCGCCATTGACCCGACTCAGAAACTCATTTGCCTCCAGTTGTAAAAGATTCAAATTCGGCAAGAGCTGCTCTTGTATATTCGCCAGCGCTCGTGCGCGTGCTATAGCCAAGCTCGCGCTGCCGTGCTCTTGTCCAGCAGGCGGTTCGCTGGCTTCCGTCTTTCCGGTTTGCGCATATTGTGGCATAAAGCTCGCCAATAGACTGATGTAAAATAAATTCGATATTTTGGACTCCATTTTTTTAGACATTCTTCAACAATCTTTTCCTCTTTCAAAGCTCTTCGGTTATTTTTGTGCCTCACTGAGTTTAGCTAAGTTACGTATACGCGCTGTTCATAATGTTATTGGTTTCAAGCTCCATCCCATTGGTAAATCTGTAAAGAAAATAAATATGTTTTTATTTCTTTAAACTGTGACCACTAATGTTAGAACTTTCTGTTCTCAAAGTCTTTCTTCAAGTAGCGAAAAAGTACCTATCGATATCTCTTGGTCCAAGAAAAAATATATTGTCTACGGATATTTTAGATTTTATTAAAATTGTGATTATAATTTTTTCAAAATCCCTGTAAGCTCCGTTTATTGTCTACCTTTATGTCTAAGAAGAGATGAGAATCTGATCGCTTCTTCGGTAAATTTTCCTTCATCTAGCACGACAACCTGACTGTTTATACAGTTTTCTAAACTTCGACCACATCTAGTTCAGGTAGTTTTCTCTCTTCCAACAAATTAATAAAACCAATTGTCTATACTAAAAAAAAAAACCATTTTATTGCAATAAAACTTCATGGCTTTCGTAACACACAAGCTTATAAATACAAAATTACGTGGCACTCTTCGACTATATATACAAAGTCTTCTTGAGTATATTTACACAGTTTACACACGCAGTGACCCCATCAAATATGGTCACATATTGTGAAAATTAGCACTAATATAGTCTTCGTTTGCAAACCAACAAAACCAAAAACGAAAACATTAAAGTAATTTGTTGTCATAAAATAAATCAGTTAACGGCAATTATTTCAGCACACAAACGTTAGAGGAAACATTTTTACTGTACGTACAAAAGCAAAGCGAATGCCATTGAACTTATGAAACGTTCTACGAACCGCCTTGGTACTGACAAACACACACTTTTCTAGATACAAGGTAATGTTTGCTCATAAATTATTTACTCACATGTGAACGGGAATTGTTAGAGAAATGCATTAAGTGTAGAGGAAGGTAAGAAAATGTCAGCAGGGTTTAAGAGTTGGCATGTGGTAACGTATTTCTGTTAGCACTCCTCATACAAACATTTATTGGATTAATGGTGAACATGTCGGAGGCTTGTGATAAAATATTAATGATGAATAATGTGCGAATTCGTTGTTCAAGCACTCTTATTTACTGAAAATTTGTAACTATAAATATTCCTTCGTCCACGACGAAAACTTGAAACTTCCTTGCAATCAACTGCTTGCGGTTTCAAAAATTATTTTTATTCAAATTTTCATCATATATTTTTGAAATATTCATTACTTAAAAGAACACTTCTTAGCGCTATATCATGGCCAACAGTAAACCATTCTTTCTGCTCCTATATTTCTCCTACTTTTCTGCACATTAAAACGCTAACAGTTTGTGAAGCTATAAGACCGTGTTTGGGCCTTACTTTATATCAGATAACGGCTTTCAATTAAAGTGCACTCACACTTTATGTCATTATTATCACCATTGTGCACACTTTGCACTTGTGGAATACTCTATAACACGCACATATGTTTACTCATACCTAAAGAGGGTGCTTTTAATTTGGCTTTCAATCAAAGGTGTTTACACAGTATGCGAGAGTATAGTAAACAAAAGTGTCACGAGCAGGATTAAGCATACACACATTTTTTGTTTTTTGTTGATGTCTGAGAGAAAGTATAGTAAAGAGAAAAATGTGCGGAAAACTCTTAAAGGTAGAGAACTTCGGGAGGGTGAAATTCATATACATATTATATAAATTTCGGTAAATATATGCGCATATTGATATAGGGTTGCCTTAAACCGTTTCAGTGCGACTAAATAAAATATTTTTCATTTCGAAAATTAGAAAAATTAAGTATATTTAACGATACAAACACATAAATATAATATATAAAAGCTATCAAAAGCACCCTTATGGGTATGTAGCCGTAAGCCTCTTATATTGAAATAGTAACATACTTCAGACAAATCCCCGTTGGCAAAAGGTATGTCCTTCAATTTCAGCGCAGAAAATATTTATAGAAATAATGAATATTCTTTAATCTATAAATGAAGGGTGTTTTTATAGATATAGACATGCATAAAATGATGTACAGAAAATTTTAGCGTTTGAGCAAAAAATGTTATTGCATCGCCATCTCAGCTTTTTCTTATGAAAACAAACCAGTTATTTTTACAACATTTTTTCTGGTCACCGTTGACGGCAATTCTTAAATTTAAAAAAGATGTATCAATAATACTTTCAGAATGAAAAACACACAAAGATTGATCAATTGGCTCTAAGAAATTCTAAACCGCCCAAAAAGAACCCTATATCATGGCCAACATAAAACAAAAATCACTTGGTTCCGAAAAATTTAAACGAAAGCGAAGAGGTATAATTTCGCCTTCCACCGGATATAAATATCATTAAATAAAAAGATTTAAATATTTTGAAATCAAAGTTTGTGAATATAGTCTGGGAAAATAACTAAGATTAAACAGCTGTGGCGAATTATTTGTTACGCTTATTTCGTATTGTTGAAATGCCGTATTTAAAATATAAGAATGAAATAAATATGTATAAAATAAATAAAAAGTATATTTTACAAAGCTTGTTAATCTTGGCATAAAGCTTAAAAGTAATCTATTCATTGAAGGTAATATTATTTGAACCCATAATTTAAAATCATGGTATTACGTTATTGTCGGCAATAAAATAATTATTTTTTTTAACAACTTTCTAATGCCCCAAAGTGTAGACAATACTTATAGATATGTTGTATACGGTTAGACGTAAGTCGATAACAAGAATTGGTTAGTAAGCTTGACAGACTGGTTAGTTAGATATAGCTTCTTAGCTAATTTTTTGATATTATCAGTATAGGAATATGAGTACACATATATATTGCAATACTTTTAAAGCTAGCGAGTAGCATGAAATTAAGTTGTGCAATGAACAAGTATGTGGAAAATGGAAAAGAAATTCGCTGAAACGTCTGCAACACTTATTAGGTAAGTAGGACAGTAAGAATAAGTAAGAATCCTTTCAGTTAATATCGTTTTTCTCTCTCTCTCTACCACTCTCTCTCTCTCTCTTGATACTGTTTCTTATTGAGAAGCGACGTCCGAACAATACACAGTTTGAAAGCCACATTTCCCCTGTTACAGAGCCAGTTAAATTTCTCTCATGAAATCCCATTACATACACTTTTTTATAGTAGTTTGCTGACAACTTTAATAACCTAGCAACAAGCTCAACGGTCTGCTGCAAATACCCTCAGCATCAAAGTAAAAGCGCCAATTCAGAATTTTTTACTTTTATATAAGCATATATTGTACAATAAATTTACAAGTATACACTAAGTGTACACAATTATATATGTAATTAAAAATAAATCTCTGTAATATACTTGTATATATAACTATGTACGCCTGCAAGCCTATGTAGTTAAACGGATGGGAATTGAATCAGTGCCGTTGGTCATAAATGCTCACCCGAAAATATAACAAAATCTAGCTACGATTTTAGTGTATATATATGGATATACGTATGTATATGCCTTCCTTGTACGCTGCTAACTTTGTAGTGTATCATATACGTATTACCACGTGTTCTAAGTTGGCACTCTGACACTAACCCAACACACTCGCAATATAATTGGCCCACCAGTGAACTCGACACTGCCAACTGTAAGGTTTTTCATGCTCTCTACTCCATCCTTTTCGTTATGTGTCGCGTTTATTCGAGTGTTTCATGGCAGTAGTTTGAGAGTACGAGTATAGCAGTCATCTTGTGCGCACCGAAGTGTTGTTTAACTTGACCCGCGGTGGCATATTTGCGCTTATCTTATTTATCATTGCCCTCAAGAAGTATTTTGTACCTTTCCTTTTTATCTCACTAGTTTGTGCGTGGTGTTTTGTATGTTTCTTTTTTTTTTACTATTTATTTCATACATATTTTTAGCGAACACGCCAATCTACTTAGACGTAATATATTTTATAACGTATTTTGTGCGGGTGGACACGTGCAACATGGTGTGAAGGACCCTTCCTGAGACAATTTCTTATTCCGGCAGCTGAAATTTGAAGTGGGCACCGATTGTTTGTAAGCGTACTACTTATGTGAATATATGAGTTTATTCGCACGGAAAGCAATTTTCAGGCACTTGAAATTATGATTTGGAGAGAAAATATGTTTTTTTCTGCCGTAAACATTTGTCACTTGTTGCTAGCTAGTAAGGGCTTTGCAGATTAAAAAAATGTTGCCGTCAGTTAAAAGTGAGAAAAGTTTGTTAAGTTACTGAGGTTCTTTTTTAAAAGAAGGGAAATTATAATTAGCTGAGAGCATTTTGGAAACATATTTAGCCTATTTTTAGACTATTTACAATAGTGAATATTTCAATCGCAGATATATTGTTAGATCTATGGTTCGCCCAAGAAAAAATTGAGTGTGTTCATCGATTATTATACTAAGTTCAGTTGTGTAACGGTGATAACTTGTTTGTCCAGCTGAGAGAGAGAAGAACCTATGAAGAATGTCAGTAATTATGGGAGTTCAATTGAAATCCCACACACTCAAAAGTACTCCGACTTCACGTAAGCTTTCGGTAAAATATAAATTTTCTACGCACACACAGCTACCCACATACATTTGTTCCATATTTTGCCATCCCACATATTAAAATTGCCGACTTCTACCACAAGATTTGTTCTCAAGTATTTTTGCTTGAATAAGAAATACGAGTATTTAGTTATTGCTTATTGTTGTTCTATTCCTGTGAGAGTACAAGAACTATTAACACGATATTCATATACGCTCTTGCAACACAAGAATGCACAAAACTTCAGTATACTTCCACCTAACTCGATGGACATCTTTCACAGCCGAGCTTCTTTGTAGTAGCTTGTGGCAAGTTTGCAACTACCAACAACAACTGTTTTCAATTGCTTGCTTGGCCACCTGTGTTTTGAGCTCCCTCAATTTGCATTTCGGTATCATGCTTACATACTTTACGTATGTATGTTGTGTACTTCCGTGTAATGTACCTGTGCATACAAGTAGTCATTACTTTGCATGGCCTGAGGCAATAAATTGAGCAGAAGATCGTATTTGCCCAAAAATTTGCCGTTAGCAATGGGAATTTTCGTATTACCAAAA